CTTTCAATGCCCAGTTCCAATGATGCCATGTCCATAGATTTAATTCTCCCTCTACAGACACCTCAATGCATTTTACTTGTATTTCCACAAAAGGCTTTATTACATTTGGTCATTTGTTACGGCAATTTTTAATTATGTCTTATCTCCTCCTCTAGAAATACAACTTGATTACAAGAGGCATTGGTTTTTTTATATATCTATCCTGGTCAACATCAACCAGGTGTTAAATAGTTGTTTACTTAATTGAATTAACTCCTCCACTAATAAATCCAGAGGGGAGACAAGTGGCTACAGAAGTAGAATATCTTACTTCTTGTAACTACAAAGGCTTTAAGGCTAAGACATACCCAGAGGTCCCTATACAAAGACCAATACCCAACAAATGTTACCTCAACAATTTCTCAAACCATCTGTTTTCCAATTGACTGAGGGGGAAACATCAGTCAGTAGCAAAAAAAAAAAAAAAAAAGCCCAGTTACTGAATTAAGTTACAGACTTTAAAAAAAAAAAAAAAAAAAAACTTGTGGGGGTGGGGGGTTAAAGTCCATTAACTCTTCAGCAACCATTTCATTACTTAACCTACTGAAGACTCATCTAGAGTAGCAGTGCATCAGTGCATTTTTATTAAGGGCACCATCATGGCAAGAACACAGAGCCAGCCATGTGCTGGGACAAACAATGGTTCAGGAAACATCCCTAGCTCTGAAGAGACTGGTGCCATGTGGAAAGGTTACGTGACCACACCTCTCTCACATCTTCTTTATCATCCACTCACTGGGGGCCTTGGCATGTTCGGTGCAGGTAGGCGCAGTAGCTTTCTTCAAGCATAGGACATTCATCTCTATAATCTCTTGCTTAAAAATCATTTCCAAAAAGGTACAATAAAGGCATCCTCCCAGGTGCAGTAAAACCACCAAAACATGGCATACTGCACTTCCCTAAATGGAAGACTTCATCCACCATGGCCTTAATTGATGAAAGCCCCTCAAATACTTGTGAAGATATTTACAACTTCCTTTTATATATAAAATACGCTTAGGTATTGACAAACATTAAAATAAAGCCTCGGTTGTAAAATAAAACCCCCACCACAAACAGTTTCCCAAACCCTTTGGGAAAGGTATATTGTGAAGAACTGGAAAATGCAACTCCCCACAAGTTTCATGTCTAGTTCCACGCTGTGATCTGCTCCCAGAAGCCAAGTCTTCAAAATTTCTTTACCTACCCAACCTTTTAAGGCAGGTAGTGGCAGAGGTCTGCACCATTCCCACCCTGACTTCCACCCACATCCATTCAATGTTCATGTTCTTGCTTCTCTCTTTTCTGGTTCTTTACTTTAGATACTTGCTCAAATCCACTCTTATTAGCAAATTTTTAATTTACTAAGACAGTCAACTAGAAAAAAAATGGTTTGAGAAACTGACTAGGTAACATGGTACCAGTATAAAAAAACCATATCCATACAAATCCAGGGCCCAAAATAAGGACCAGGTACCAAGAAGTAAGGCAGTCTTCCAAAGACAACTTAATTCAATTCCTATTAGCATCTGTTCTATTTGTCACTGGAACGCGTTTCGAAGAGGGAACTCTTTATCTGATGTGGACAGTTGTGCTCTCCTGTTTAGGAGAACTAAGGGTAACACTTCAGTGAGAACAAGCTGTCCCTACTCCAGAGAAAAGGGGCGTGATATCATTAGTAAATGTGAAGGGGTCATACCACAGTTCTAGAGGCTGGCAAAAATATTTCCTAGGCCAAAGGATTTCAAAGAATTTTCTTTTTTAAGAATAAAGAAGGAGGCTCTGAATAATAAATAAGCATAGTGAAATAATTCTGAAGTGACCACAAGGCATGCCAAACTCCATTCCCATTAGTCATGGCCAAAGATGAAAGGAAAACTCTGCAATCATCCCTTTGCTACTATAAAATTTTAATATTTTCCTATTATATCATAGTCCGCATTTAGTTAATAAAATTTCATCTAGTATTTATCCTAAAAAGTTGTCTCCCTTTTGTACTCTCAGTGCCACAGGGAGACTTCAATGTAGGCTGATCCAAAGAATCTCACAAGTGTGCTCGAGGTAAGCATGTGAGTTCTTCTCAGAGTTCACATATTCATTCTTCTCAGAGTTCGCATATTCAAAGTCCTTTATTAATTAATCTGTTGTCTGTCACTGGACTACCTCTAATGAGGAAACTGTTCGCTTCAGTTTTAAGGAAGACATAGTTTGTTAGGATGATGGGCAGGAAAAAGAAAGCAGGTGCATCAGTAGACATGAGGCTGAGCAGCCAGGGAGGAGGTACCACTTTTCAACTCACCTCTGAATCTGCTACAGTCACCCTACTGTCTAGATGGCCAATGTAAGGCATAACGATTGTTAGGTTTCTTGCTACTGCCACATATAAGACCAAGAGAAGTCTAGGAGAATACACCAACACGTATTTTTTTCCTTTTCTTTTTATGCTTACTAAATCGTTGGGGACTTCCCATGAAACAGTAAGAAGCATGTTTTTATGTATCATATCAGCAAACAGTCTATGCAAATGTGATCAGTTATTCTTTTATTTCATTTTCAAGAAAAGAAAGACGTGCAGAGCTTTTTAAAATTTCCTCAGCTACTCTCCCATTAAAAGCAGAAGCCTGGGATGCAATAACCAAATTGAAATAAGAGAAAAATTTAAACAACATCTCATTGACCTATGAGCACATAGCTGTCTACACAAGAAAGGGAAAATTCAATGCAAAATTACAATACTTGGAAAATTATTCAAGTGTTTCAATGTGTGAAAGCAAATAATTTAGTCAGAGATTATCATCAATTAACAGCACTCTGTCTTTCTCACTGGGGATTTTGGAAGAATATAGCCATATGATTTTTTTTAAGGGAAGGAAAAGAAGTATGCTTTCTCAATTCGATTTTGTATTCTAGAACAATGTTACTCAAAAAATAAACAGATAAAAACGTATAAAAATGATGGATTTAATAAGATCTACATAGGACTGCCTAAAAATATAAGGTTTTGTGGGTTTGTTTGGTTTGGTTTGGCCTTTTGGATTTCTGTTTTCTTCTGAAGAAGGGAATTGATTCGGATATCCCTGAAGTGGAGAGAGAGTCTTTAGAAAGGAAGTGTACATTTAGAAGCCCAAGAAAGAGTCATGCCACTAACAGGTCTGGAAAACTGCTCAATGAAGCCTCCCTTGTCTATCTGAGCAGACCCAAGCTAGTAGGAATGCTTATGAGAAGAATCTCCCACCTGACCTGACAGATAGACTATCCTAGCACCACCAGATAGTATCAGCATTAAAAGGCGTGTTTTAAGTGCTCAGGTGTTCAGGTTGTTAAGCTGAACAAAATTCAAAAGACAAGGTGGAGCCGCTACAATACAAAAGCTAAACAAGCTTGGCCTTACAGTAATCCTAGAACTTAAGGCTTCTGCTAACAACTGTCATACTCAAGTTCAATCAGGAGCTGATCCTTCTTTAAGTGTTTAAAATACCGTCAGACACACAGGGGCTGCACAGAAGGTGCGTGTTTCTATTGTATACAGGCACTGTGGAGGGGAAAAAGGTGACTCTTGAAAAACAACTTCCAAGACTAAGGTGAAGGCTAGAGGGCACTCCATACCAGGGCCTGATTTCTCTTCCTTCTGAAAGTACCCGACCTACCGTCATGGGGCATGCCTGCAGGCTGCTTGCTGCACCGCTAAGCAATTCTTGATGGTTCCGAAGATGCTACATTCTCAAAGACAGTTTTTCCACCGCTAAGCAATTCTTGATGGTTCCGAAGATGCTACTGTTCTCAAAGACAGTTTTTCAATTGTGTTGCCAATAAAAGACTCGGGCTTTTCAAATGGCTACAAATTACAGAGACCTAAAAATCCTTCCTGGATTTCACTCTGTTGAAGAACGATGCTGGGTTTGATCAAATAAATGCTACCAGTAAAGTGTCCTAATGTACTTTAAAAACACTGTCAGAGATAAGAATTCCTCAATTCCTCTTACTGAAATTCAAGGAAGGTCAGAGACAGCCAGCCACTTTGAAAGCACTGCTCCAATTACCCACGGGCTTCGGAAAAAGAAGCCCTAGGCTCTGCACAAAGGTTTACTACAGGGAGATGCTCAGATAACCTTCACCGTCCTTGGTAGGCTGTGGTGCTCCAGAAGAGCTGATTTGCTTCTGCTTCTAACGAAGCAGCAGGTAAGAAAAATCTCCAGGTCTTTGTTTCAACAAAACCAAAGAAACCTACACATCCCAAATGACTTGTTTTATCTGAATTTAGGAGTTTAACATATTATAGCACTTGAAGCTTGTGGGAATGTCTCTCCCAATCTGAATGAAGCTGTTACTTTTCTCAATACGAATATACCGTTTTACAACTGATTAAAACGTCTGAGAAATGTCCACTGAAACATTAGAATAGGCTTAGGTGGGCCTGGGTTTCTACCTGGGAGTAAAAACCAGGGGGAACCACTCTGAGACCAGGGGTAACACCCACATCGGTAAATGTCAGGCAGTAAGTACATCATCCAACCATCTCTCCGTTTTTCAGGATAAGCCTGCTATTCCCAATTGTCCACTAACACACCACAGTTGACACGAGTTGAGGTGTCAACTCGTGTTGACTCCCAACAAATTTTAAGAAACACGTAGATTTTTTGAAACGTATTTACTATGGAATGGGACACAAGTAGGTAACGAAAACATTCTTATTATTAATTTAAGTAGCCAGAAAAAAACCCTGAACTATTTTAACTGTAAAGACAACAATGCTGAATTCAGAAATCAGAGTAAAAATTGCACAGGAGCTTCCCTTCCTCTCCAATTCTGTTTCTGCCTCTCAGCAGTAAAACAAAGAAGGAGGAAAAACCAGTGAGGAAAAAACAGAGGGTCCACATGCGGTCAATCCAAATCTCCCTGCACAGAGCAGGTCTGCTGAGCACAAGCGTCTGAGTGCCATTCCCTTCTCCCGACAGGACTTTGTGACAAATCCACCAACTCACCTTCTTCCACTTCAAAGTTAGCACCAAATCTTGCTTTTGAGTCCAACTTGAGGTATTCTCTCAAAACCTAGATTAAAATAGTTATGAACTTTAGTATCATAAGGTTATTTTCGAATGCTGAAATACATACAATTGTACCTCACAATATTAAGGGGGGGAAATCAATTACAAATCAAATCATAACTGTGAAAGGATATACTCTACCTCTAAAGCCCTCTTTAATGGGTAATCTCTTTGTGTGTAGTTCAATGCACATTTACATGTACGCCAACCAACAGGCACTCCTGCTTAAACAGATTCTTAAACCCAGTTATTCAGTCTCCACGCAGCTTGTGATGGAGGGCCTCAGCCCATCATCTGTCACGAAGTCTGAGGAGAAACTCAGGAACCTGAATGTGTACAAAGGCCTCCAATAAAGTGATTTTGATGTAGTGAGCCTGTCCCATGCCTATGGGAACCACTGTTTCGAACCACTGGTTCTTAAGAGGGGGGTGACTTTGTACTCCAGGGAATATCTTGCAACGTCTGGAAATATTTTTGGTTGTCACAACAGGGGGAGGAGGTATGCTACCAGCATTTAATGGACAGAAGCCAGGGATGCTGCTAACCCATCCTACACTGCACAGGACAGCCCTCCGCTACAAAGAATGATCCAGTCCCAAAGGTCAACAGCGGTGAGGTTGAGAAACCCTGTTTCAAAGCAAATAACAATTCTGATCATTTAGAAATTGTACAATTCTCACACTGGTCATTTCAGATAGGTTATAAGCTCCCACTACAGATACGAACATTTCCTATGAATGGTAAGCTTATCGTTACCTTCAAGGAATATACATGCATGCCCCATATTAATAATATGCAGTACATGAACCCATTCTAAAAATATTAAAATAAGCCAGAGTGATCATGGTATCTCCTCTGTATACATGTCCTTAAGAGTCTTCCAAGAAACTAATTTTTTAATGTTTCACTGAGTATGTCAAACTATGTTAACCCCCCTAAAACTTTGTTCCCAAACATATAAAATGGAAGCTAAGGAGAATGAAATGAAAAGAACCAGAACTTAGTTTCCCTCACAGATATTCCCCTTTCCCAGGAAGGACAAGAGGGATAAAGTTCCTCTTCCCAGCGTGTCCCCCTAGATAGTAGGACTCCCACCATTTATTCAGCCAAATATACAGACAGGTACTTCAAAACCCACTTTCACTGCATTCAAAATGAGACTTACTGAGGGCCGACCGTGTCCCCACACCATGACCTTATGCAACACAGCAGAACAGAGCTTGGCCAGACCCTGTAGCAGGTCTTTCCTACACTACTGTAGTCACATGGTGTAAACATCAGGAAGAAACCGTGGGGAAAAGAAACCTATAAAGTCAAGTATCCCAGATACTAAACCCTGCAGTTTTTACATGACTGGCCTACACACTGCATCAACAGAATAAGGAAATAAGTACGGAAACCTGTAACACTCAAAACATATGCTTTGTCTTATCAAGCTTAATTAATGAGCTGTAACTGCCTAATTACATAACGAAGACATACCTAACAGCTGATGTGCACCAGGAATCTAGCTAGGTACATGAACAAACATGCAACATTTAAACCAAATGAAAGGATACGCTATATGAACACACTTAGAAGATCCCATCAGAATTAGTCCATTCTGACTGGACATTTCCCTGATGTGGCACATGAGTTTATACTCTAATTAGAGACTTGATTTCTTCCTCTGAAGCCCCAGTGTGTAAAGGAACTACCTAAATTGAACTCAAGCACAATCACCCCAGGCAACAAGCACGAGGTCGGGGCAGGGGGCAGACTGGCATTCACATCCCCAAGCACTGGTCAGGGTGCTGGCAGGGCAGGCTGGATCTGGGTCAGAGGCGGCGCTCCCATCTGGACCCCTACCCCTGCTCTGGGAACCTCTGCACCAGCCAAATCATTAAAAAGCTTTACTGAATAATGTGCTCGTCCAAAGGTAGGGCTAACATACATTCTAGATTCAAGATGTCTGTGAAACTAGTGTAGAGCCCATCACTCCTCCACTATAGAGAGAGAAGACCACTGGGGAAGGCAGCCTAAAACACAAGCCAAAAAGCTAATGACTTGGTCAAAGACAACTTCTTAATACACTTCAGTGGCTAAGAGAACCAAGGAGAGTACTTTTTATTTTATGAAGCAAAATAATTTCAGGCTTTCCTTTCTTTTTCCAGGAAAGGAAGAAAGAGGGGAAGGCCTAAAAATTACTAGGGAGGCTCAGAAATATTAACGCACAATATGAAATCTACTTAACCCAACCTCCATTTTTCTAGATTTAAATCACTCTTCATATAAAAATTTATAATTGAATTTCAAAACATAAACACTTTTTTCCTCTCACCAGTAAAATATATTCTGTTCCAAAAAAGAAAGGTTGCTCAATTTCCTGTCAAAAGCAATCCAGAGAAGGCCACCTACACTGTAAAAGCAGCAAGAAAAAAAAAATAACAAAATGCTGAAGAAAAGCCTGCGTGTGTGGGTGTATACTAAGTGCAATGTAACTACCACTCTGGGTTTTTAAAAGCTTTTTTTTCCTTGATCACTCTGAGAAATATGAAAATCAGTGTAGCTGCTAAAAGAAGTTTGTCCGCCAACCTTCCTAAGGAAAACAAGCCCTATGATGAATTTCAGTTCCACCATAGAGAGAGGTATGGGTGGACATTCAATGCCTTTGACCCATGATTCTTTGTTGTCACAGGAAAGGGCAGATTCTACCAAACAGACAACTTACATGTCATGTTTTCAGAGAGGGAAGGCTGCTCTGACAATTAACCTTCTCCCCCTAGCTACCCTTCCTCCCCCTTACTCCGAACCTCTGGGAGCTAACCACTCACCACTGCCTAGATTATGGTTTAGTATAGCATCGAATTCACCACGCTGTCTATGAAATTCCCCTTACCCTGTTTATGCTTTCTGAAACTCTAAATTCTAAGATAGCAATCAACCAGCCCAACACTTTTTATTAAAAGCCTACGGAAATATGCTCAATGCTAAGAGAGATACATTGTGGTGAAATAAAAAGAGAAAGAGAGAAGGAAAGCTTGAATAGCTCACGAGCAAATTGAGGACAAAAGAACAGAACATACAAAGTCAAAATTAAATACAGTATTATTGAATTGTAACAGTAAAAAGCCCTATTTCTATAAATCATACTTTCCATGAGGAGTCTGACACAATAAATAACGAGCAGGGAAAAGAACATATTAATGAAATGATGGTAAATACTGTAATTTTTATTTTATTTTATTTGAGTTGGCTCCACGCCCAATGTGGAGCCCAACGTGGGGCTTGAACTCACAACCCTGAGATCAAAACTTGAGCTGAGATCAAGTTCCGTCCATTTGTTTAATGGACTGAACCACCCAGGTGCCCCATGAAATGATGGTAAATACTCTAAAATCAGCACACCAAAAGACAAATCAAGATGTGGCAGAAAGCCAACTTTATGGGGCAGCTGCAAGACAAGACAGCATGAGAAAGCAAACCTCTTATAAACCTTACAAATGATTTGTCCGATAAGCTAACAATTAACTATTAAGTCAACTAACAAGAGGGGCTTTTTGTTCTGTTTTCAACCGATGCCAAAAAAAAAAAAAAAAAAAGGCGAGACTAGTTAGTACAAATAACTTTATTTCTCAGAACCACTTAAGAGTAAGTAGCCAACATGATAGCCTATCAACCCTACAGAGTTTAGACAGTAGTTTCTATAAATAAGGGCATTCCACAAAACTATAATTATGGTCCTGAAAATCATCAAAATTACATAGTACCATCAATCTAATCCACTCTCCAACTATCCCAGTAACATCCGTATTAGTAAAAGGGTCCAATCCATCCAGGATCTCACACTGCACTTAGTTTTCACATCTCATTAGTGTATTTCAATCCAGAATTCCTGACTTTCCTTGACTTTCATGACCTTGACAACTGTTAAGATTCCAGGCCAGTTTTGTAGCATATTCCTTAACTTGGGTTTGTCTGGTACGTTCTTATGATTAGCCTCCAGTTACGAATTTTCAGCAGGAACGCTCTTATGATTAGCTTCCGGCTATGAATTTTCAGCAGGAATACCAAAGAAGAGAGTTGCCCTCCTTGTATCCTACCAGGTGGTACATTACTTTAATCTTTTCCCCTTACAGGTAACATGAACTTCTATCATTTGATTTTAGGGGGACTCGGCCAGATTTCCACTACAAAGTTACTCTTTCTACATTGTAATTTATAAGTACCTTGTGACAGGATACTTTCGGATTATATAAATATCCTACCAACCAACATTTGTGTCCAGTGATAATTCTTGGCCAAATTATTTATTTTATGATGGCTACCAAAAAGCGAGTTCTAGTCTAATAACTCCTACCATTCTACAAGGGGGGGAAATGGTACTTAGAAACCCAGATCTGGGTGTGATTATTGCAACTGGGTTATTGTTGCTCCTAGCCAGAAGAACAGAAGAACATGCATAGATGCACACACCCTTCCTTCTTCATTTCTTTCTATATCTATGTATATTGTAGACCAGGAGTTCATACAGATGCCCTGAATTCCTGCCCAATTATGGGGTCTTTCTAGCTTTCCCCTTTCCCTTCCCTATAACAGTAGTAAATGTAGCTCCCTTAACCTCACTTTTCCTTCTTGGACTTAGCCCCCCATGTCCCCTAATGCTACCCCAATTTCTGATCTATCATCAGAAAAAGCCCACTCTCTCTAACTAAGGGACCAGTAAGGGAGAAGCCCAGACAGACAAAAATGTTATTAGAGACTATATAGGATACCATTTTTGCAGAGTCCAAATAGGCAAAGCTAAAAATACACTGTTTACAGATACACTCATTTTTAAAAGCAAGGGAATGCTGAACATAAAATTCAGGATAGTAGTCACCTCCAGAGGGAGACAGAAGGATAGAATCATAGGGAAACACACAACTTCAAAATACTTGTGTTCTAGTTCTTAGTGAGAACCTACACGCCCTAAAACCAAGTTCCTTGGCATACACAACTATGCCTCACTAAACCACCAGGAGGTCATTAGCAGAGTCTCAATTTTACATTTAAGATCTGAGGCCTAGAAAGGTTAAGCGTGTTGCCTGGGGTCACACAACCAACAAGGCGGAGCTTAGACACAAACCAGGTCTGACTCAATCCTCTATCTACTGTGCCCTCAGCTATTCCTCAAACAGAAGAAAGAAGATGGGCAGAAGAGATGGAGCTATGGCTCTAAGGCTAAGATTCCTCTGTGCCTCTGAACCATTTCCAGACTGTTTTTAGGGTATAGGCAAGTCGAGGCGCAAAACTGGCAGGCGGAGGTGGAGGAGCAAAATCTTCCTAAGGGCTGCATAGGGGGTAGAGGCACCACTCTGGGCCATACTGAGACTGCAAGAACAATATAACCAATCCTTTAGGGAGAGTTTCTAGCACATTCCATGGGCCACAAATTCTGGCTCAAGTAAGTCACTAAATAAAATCTCCTCTCAGAAGGCTCTGGCAAAATCTTATTACTAACTGTTTTGTTTTGTTTTGAAATCAGGAAACAAGGGAGAGAAAACCAGCAACCCATTCATGAAGTTCCAAACAAAGCCTAAATAGGGCGAAATTATACATCACTTAGCACACTGCATGAAACATGAAATTAGTGACAAAATGTTGAGCCCTTTGAAAGAACTTGTATAATGGGATACTGAGGCAGAGCAATAATACTTCTCTGAAGGAAAGACCTGACATCCTGGGAAGCTTAAATCCCACTCTGCTTACCTGGGTGTGGTTTAAAATTGCTAAAACCCAAAAAAGATGGATCTCCATAAGAAGAAAAGAAAAAAGCATATTTATCTTCTCAAAACATCAGATATAACAGCATTCTAACTGCATTTTTGGTAGAAATACCTCCAGAGTCTATTAGTGATTAATAACAACTCATACAACCTAGAAAAGTCTCATGATCAGCACTAATGATTTTGTGATCTTAGTTCAAGCTTTCTCTGTCTTTACAATGGAGTATGTTTTCCCACTACTGACTTCCAAGGGGGTGGAGCATAAACTGAATCAGAAGTAATTTTTGACTTAGCCTCCTCCCCAACCCCCCTGCAAAATCTGCTAATATTCTATCTTCCCTTTCTTTTTCTTTCCAAAGAGGAAAAATCTAGACCTAGCCCACAGACTAAAACAAATACCACAGAACAAAAGAAAACAAAGGATGTGTGCAAGATGGTGCAAAAATAATTCAAAACTCATGCAAACTTCATGTTGGAGCCTAAAACAGTCTACAATACATAAAGGTTAAGAAATGCAAAGTGGTCCTGCAAAGACAATAAGCGCATGAGAAGCACACGAAAGGATAAATCTCATTAGATAAAAAAGAAAGCTTTTTAACAGGACTCTGCAGGGGCAAGGCTTTCCCCCCGACCCCCCAGCTTTTTAGTTACTTCCCTTATGAAAAGCAATCAGGTGCTGTTGAAATCAGCATCTAGTATTAGAAAGACAAGAAGTTATCCTGAGGTATTTCTAAATGAATATGACAAAAAGAATAAATTAATCCATAGGCACTTGTTTCTTACATCCTACTGTATTAAACTTACATGATCACAAGATGAGCAGTAATTATCCTAGAGAATTTAGGGACAACAGCCCAGCTTTAAAAGAAATTTAGAATCTAGAGACACCTGGGTGGCTCACTTGGTTGAGCATCTGACTCCTGATTTCAGGCTCAGGTCATGATCTCAGGGTTTTAAGATGGAGCCAGATGGCAGGCTCTGAGCTCAGCGGGGCGTCTGCCTCTCTCCCTCTCCCTCTGCCCTTCCACCCCCCCCCCCCAGCTCATGCTCTCTCTAAAGTAAATAAATCTTTTTTAAAAATTTAAAGAAATTTAGAATCTAAAAAATAAATATGAAAAAAATGTATTATTACTTTAATGTTGGAAAGGGGAAAACCCTGAAACATATTAAAGAGTTTCCTTGTAAACTCCCAGATAATGAATTTGGGGCAAAAATCAGTACGGCTATTTAATAAATAAATTCTCCCAAGCTAATCTAATTTAGTGATATTGAGACAACCCACTTAACAAGGGACTGCAAGACTTGAATTTCTAAACATTAATGGATCTGACAACTCATGAAGACACACAAAAAAAATGTTCTTCCCCTGAAAAGTATATACAATGGTCCTTTGATCCCAAGTTGTACAAACTACTACTTATTCTTCCTTTCCCTGAAACTCTAAACATTAAAGTTAGAAATAAGTCCTTTTGCAAGCTAATTATCTTCATCTTGAGGCTTCTCCAACTTAAAAGTCACTTCTATCTACCCATTTGCTTGAGCCAAAAACCTAAGACTGACTATCCATTCCTTTCTTCCACAGCCCACATCCATTCTGCCAACACCTTTAACTTCTACCTCCTGAAGAACACCCTGAATCCTTCCCTCCTCTCCATATCCACTGGCAATACACTGGTCCCAGCCACTATTCTCTCTCAACTAGGCAACTGCCCCAGATTCCTCATTAATTTCTACCCATGATCATTTTCCACAGAGTAGTCAAAAATGACTTTTTAAAAGGTTAAACTACATATTTTTATTCCCCTGCTGAAAACCTACCAGCAGCTTTCCATATCCTGAGATGTCAAGAAATGTGAAAGATATAAGATTTTACTCTAATTTCCAAGCTAATATGTTAGACTGTCACAGGTGTATGGATACCACTGAGGACATGAGACATGTGGGTCAGAGACAAAGGACTTCATTACTCACAGCAATAGCAGTAGCCAGAGTACCAGCTTTTTTAAATATTTTATTTATTTATATGACAGAGAGAGAGAGAGCACAAGTAGACAGAGCAGCAGGCAGAGGCAGAGGGAGAAGCAGGCTCCCCGCTGAGCAGGGAGCCCGATGCAGGACTCGATCTCAGGACCCTGGGATCATGACCTGAGCCAAAGGCAGACGCTTAACGACTGAGCCACCCAGGCGTCCCTGGAGTAACAGCTTGTTTGGTGCCAGTCCCTTACATCCCAATTTCCACCAGGTAACACCTGCACAGCAGTGGGTTGTGTTACAGGAGAGTAACCCCGAGCTTAATGAACCAAAATCTTTTATAATGGGCAGTATGCCTGCCTGAACTTTACCCCAGAAGGAGACATTGTCCTTATTACATAGACAGTAAGTGTGACTGATCTTTGATCTGGAGGGTATCTTCCAAGGCTGCTGACTATATAAATCATGCTTAAAAAGACAGTCTAGAACAAAAGTAGTCAGTGCGGAAACACAAGACACAGGGAAAATTGTCTCCCAACATTAGAATAAAAGCCAAACTTCTTACCATAGTCTAAGAGGCCCCACATAATTGGTCTTTTTCTCTTCAATATCATGTTGAACTCCTATCTCTTCAGCTTACTATGCTCTAGCTCCACCACCATCTTTGGTGTCCTCAAATAAGTCAAGTTCTTTCCTGACTCAGGACCTTTGCATATGCTGTCCTTTTGTCTGAAATGCTCTTTCTCTGGCTTAGATGTCACTTCCTCAGAAAAACCTTCTCTAGGGGCATCTGGCTGGCTCAGACAGTTAAGCGTCTGCCTTCCAGGGTCCGGGGATCGAGCCCCGCATTGGGCTCCCTGGTCTGCGGAGAGCCCACTTCTCCCTCTCCCTCTGTCTGCCGCTCTTCCTATCTGTACTCCCTATCTCTCTGTCAAATAAATAAAAATCTTTAAAAAAAAAAAAAAGAAAAACCTTCTCCAGTCAATCTATCTATATGAGACCCTACACTCACTGTTTACTCCCTTTTTATCACATTGCTCACTTATTCATTTAGTCAGTAAACATTGGGCACCTACTATGTACCAATCATTATTACTGTAGGCACAATAATTACCTTATCTACTTATTTACTTACTAACAGTCTTCCTTGAGGGTAGAAATCTTGTCTTTACATTCATCCACAAAGACCTAAAACTTAAAATTGTGCCCTCAACAAAACTCTGTTCAATATGAAGTACCGAAATCCTTCCACATCAATATGGGGAAACAGCATAGCACTGAGCAAAAAGCATAAAATTAGAAGCTAGAAGTCCTAAATTGAAACCCTGGAGTCATCAGACACCTGAGCAATTCTACCTAAGTTCCCTAAAAAATGGAGAAAATTCCTCTCCTGCCTAACTCACAAGATTATTATGAGGATCAAATGACAGAATCTATTAGGAAGCCCTTGCAAATGCTAAACATAATTTAAAACTGGTAACAAATCAACAGTTAATAGTCATGAAATAGTCATTCATTCAATAAGAATATACTAGGTCTTTACTATGAGAGTAATTATTAATGAAAACTAAAATGTATATCAAAATATAAGTTAAAAATGTATAACTTAAAGTGAGATTAGAATATGGTTAGTTCTTTAACAAACTTGAAGGAGAATAGTTTTTCCCCTTGAAGTACCGTTTGGACATGCTTTAAAAACTCTCAGACAAAAGGTGAGTCACCTTTACCGGCTCCTGATCCCAGAATATTAAAAGAATGTCTTCTGGTTACTTATTTTTAAGCAAGCATTTCAAATGCCAATTTAGAAAATTTTTAGACTATATTTACACCCCTGAATGCCAATCTCCAAAACGGAAATTTTTAGCTTTCTGGCAAAATTTATGAATTTATTAATTTTGTCTCCTTTTACTGACTCCAACTAAAACCAAACGCAGTCTCTTTACTTCAAGGCGGGAAGTGTGAGTGTGTGTGTGTTTGCACGCACGCATGTGCAGTAAAGAAAAAGTAAGCTCCATCTTACATTTTTTGTAAGTAGAGCAGCTTCCAAGTCAATGCACAGGGCTGCCAACAGGAGGAAACAGAGTGATCACACTGAGGTACAGGCACAGGGCTGCAACCTGAGCACAAACAAGGACAAGTCAACTGAGACAAGCCACACACCGGGCAGCAGTTCACCAACCAACCCATCATCTCCCATACCGCTGCCATGCAATTACACAGAAAGTCACTGAAAGGGGTGCTGCTTCTATGATGTAAAACGATGACATGTAAACTGATAAAAAGGAGGGTCTAGGCGACATTCATTATAAAGGAAATAGAGTGGAATGTGAGAACAGTATGATCAAGATTTCTTTTGCACGACCGTTCTCAAATTTGAGGCACACATATATAAACAACTAACAGAGGTACATCATGATCATAAAAAGGAGGAATAATAACATGAACTAGTGCTTCTAAATATTAAAGTCAAGAAGAAAATATGAAGATGAGGGAAAGTACACGGGAAAGCTCTTGGGAGCTAAAAAGACATGCAGGCTGAGAGGGATGGAGGCAGACAATCTACAGCCTATACATGAGAAACACTTGGAGAGGTATATATTTCAGCATGTATATACAATTATATCTGGTAGTTTTTCATTACACATTGAAGGGCTCTCAAAACTGCTTCCTTTCAGGCTGTTTTAATGATGGCTACGGACTCCATATTTGGGGACAAGGAGCAGTCATAGCATACTACTCACGAAGTCCTCAAGAACGGCAAGTACTGGCATGATAAGAAGTAAAAATACAATCTAGGTCATCTAGAAGCTTCTACCTTGATTTAATTTAAATAGACAATGTCTAAACCTGTCTTTCAATTAAGTAATTCCCCTTATTAATAACAGTGATGGGGCGCCTGGGTGGCTCAGTCAGTTAAGCGTCTGCCTTCAGCTCGGGTCGTGATCCCAGGGTCCTGGGATCGAGCCCCATGTCAGGTACTCTGCTCAGCGGGGAACCTGCTTCTCCCTTGCCCTCTACCCACTGCTCCGCCCGCTTGTGCTTTCTCTCTGCCAAATAAATAAATAAAATCTTTTAAATATATACATATATGTATATAAATGATAGTATTTGAGTGCCCACAATACGCCAGTCACATAATAGTTTCTATCTCATATAATTGATAGAACAATCCTAGCAGATGGCTATTATTATCCCCCTTTTTTTATTATCCCCTTTTTATAAGGAGTGCAAGTAGGAATCAGTGAAGTTCTAAATCTTGCCCAACGCAAATTAAGAAGTGACAGCATTAGAATTCAAACCCAAGATGATTGATCCTTTTCCAATATTCTTGCTCTTCGTATTCAATGTCACGTAACCTCCAATAATAACAGTTTAATATGTACTGTGTTCTTGGCACAATATGGATGAATGAGCTGTTCATTATTTCATTTAATCTCTAAAATAACCCTGTAAGATGGCTATTATGAGCCACATTTTTTTCGTTTGAGGAAACAGAGTAGTTACGTGACTGCCAAGGAAACACAGCTAACTAAGCAGGAACCCAAACCTAAGTCCATCTGAAACAAAGCCTGTGTTTCTACTACTGTATTACATAGATTCCACCTTATAGTATTTAGAGTAATTATAATTTAGGACTTACTTATAAATTACTAGCTCACTATTTATAATATTACATGAAAATGTACATGATAAACTATAAACTATGTTAAAATATGTTATAAATATTTTTCAGAAAAAAACTAGAAAGATAGATGGCAAAAAAAATTACATGAGTGATAGGATCACTGGCAAATCTTTTTCTAATTTGTTTTCCTAGTTTCTCCTTAATTATGATACATAACTTACATAAAGGTTTTGTAAAACACGCACATACACAAAAAAACCACATTTTAGTAGATTTTTTCCCTCTGTTCTCTGGAACCTATCAAAACGAAATTTCAACTAGAAAACGTGATACAAGTTTAACATACCTCCAGAATTGAACAAATGGTGAACAACAATGAAAACTAAGCCACAGAATTAAATCACACAGCATTAAGGAAAAATAAATAGCTTTTCAATTTTTATATCATACTTACCCAAAAAAACAAAGTAAGTAAAAGAGACAGGTATTCAGAATTCCTTAAGTTGGATAAAATGCTTGGAGAAAAATTACCAAAACCAACCAAGTTCATGCAACTCAAGAAAAACACACTTGAAAACTACAGTACAAAATCTTCACAGAAAAAAAGTCCATTTTAGTGACGATCCAGGCATTTGAGATTAGCAATTAATCTGAAGAAATGACTTAGTGACTCTAAAATGTCATTTAAAATAAACAACTAACCAGAAAGTGAATGCCCACATTTAACCAAATTTACTTTTCAAAATATATACGCTTATCTTGTTTACTGACCCCACATCACCTCCATAAAACCTCTTCAGAAACAGTTTAATCATAACCTGCAAGTGGGAAGTGCATAAATTTAATTTCCCTAATGGAAACCACCACTCAACTACTCACTGATAGAAATATAGTATCAACTTTCAAAGCCATCAAATACTGTGTATTCTGAAAGAAGAAAACCCTGTGGGATTAGGCGGGAGAAAGGGGGAGCTTCAACTTTTTCCAAAATGTTTTATGATCTTAAACAAATATGGCAGAAGGTTAAGATTTGATGAAGCTAGAAGGCATTATATAATTCTCTACCCTTTCTAGCCTACTTGAAATATTTTTAAAGTAAACAGAGTAATAAGGTTTAATATCTGTAAGTCAATACAACACTCTTCCTCTTAGTATACTTTTACTGATTAAAACACACCCACACCATCTCAACATCCCTCCAGCCCAACCTGTGACATTTTACCACCCAAGGAAGCCACTGTTGACATGAATACCAAACAATTCCTAATATTTAGTTTGTTCCTTTGCAAAGCATGAATTCAGAAAAATTACCATATGATGGAACAAAAAAAATTCAAAATTATTTATGCAGTGATGCCAAACTAGTCATAAATCCCGAGATGTTTTCTGTGTACACCTTGAATCCATTTCTAAAATGAAAATAAGAGGTTTACCTCTCAAAATAGCATACTTCCAGAACAGATAGTCCTAATCTCCCACAGGAAAGCACAGGCTCAAGACATCTTACAAAGTGTGCCACCTACTCTTCACACCAGAAAAGTCATTTTTGGTATTAAAGTGACAAGAGAATATATTAATGACAAGCTTGAGGCCTGAAAAAAGCAAAGAGATCTTAAGAAAGTTGAGTAGTTAACTTTCTTCTCACCGAAAGAACCAGAAAAACATTCGTATGTGCTTCTGACCCCATGGGCAAAGGCACGAGGTAGAAATTGCTGTCGTATACAGGAAACAGATGGGGTGGATAATGCAACTAGATAATCAACTGCCCCCTCTTCCCTTGGCTAGAATGTAAGAAACTTTCAGTTAATAACGAAACAAACTAGAAAAGCGGAAGTTCATAGCTGACGCAGGACTTGAACGCATGAAGGAACATGTTACGAGCACCACACACTGGTTAGAGCTAAATGACAAAGTTTCAGCTCCGTGTTTCCTCACCCTCAAAAATGACTGTTACACTTGCCACAGCCTCAATGAAAGCCAAGACCCAGCTGTATGACACTTCACCAACCAAGTCCCCTTAACTGAGGTGCAATTATTTGCTGTATTTAAGAACAAGTATTTACTTTAAGTAAATACACTTTCTTTTAAGGTGTTAATTCCAGTATAGTGAACACAGTGTTCTATTAGTTTCAAGTGTACAACATAGTGATTCACCAGTTCCACATATTACTCAGGGCTCATCAAGGTAAGTGCAGTCTTAATCCCCATCCCCTATTTCACCCATCCCCCCACCTACCTCCCCTCTGGGAACCATCGGTTTGTTCTCTGTAGCTAAGAGTCTGTTTCTTGGTTTCTCTCTCTCTCTTTTTTTTCCTTTGCTTATTTGTTTTGTTTATTAAATTCCACATACAAGTGAGATCATACAGTATTTGTCTTCTCTGATTAACTTCTTTCACATAGCATTGTACTCTCTAAATCCATCTATGTCATGGCAAATGGCAAGATTTCATTCTTTTTTATGACTGAGTAACATTCCATTGTATGTATATACTTCTTTATCCATTCATCAGTCGATGGACATTTGGGCTGCTTCATATCTTGGCTATTGTAAATAATGCTGCAATAAACATAGGTGCATGTATCTTTTCAAATTTGTGTTTTCATATTCTTTAGGTAAATACCCAGCAGCAGAATTACTGGATCATATGCTAATTCTATTTTTAATTTATGAGGAAGCTCCATACTCTTTTCCAGAGTGGTTGTATCAGTTTGCATTCCCACCAACAGTACACGAGGGTTCCTTTTTCTCCACAACCTCGCCAACACTTGTTTGTGGTTTTGATTTTAGTCATTCTGACAAGTGTGAGTTGAGATCTCATTGTGGTTTTGATGAGCATTTCCCTGATGATGAGTGATGCTGAATATCTTTTCATGTGCCTGCTGGCCATCTGTATGTCTTCTTTGGAGAAATGTCTACTTATGTCTTCTCATTTTTTAATTGGATTATTTGGGGGTTTTCTTGGTGCTGAGTTGTGTAAATTCTTCATATATTTTGGATACTAACCTTTTATCAGGTATGTCATTTACAAATATCTTCTCCCATTCAGTAGGTGTCTTTTAGTTTTATTGACTGTTTCCTCTGCTGTATAATTCAAACACTTCTTAAACATCAACTGGGTATAAGGCTCTGAGTTTCAAAAAGCTGCAGAGTTCCAAAGATCCCAATGGCAGACTTTCCTCTCAAGAAGTTTACAGCCCAATTCATGGTGAAGGACATGTAAAAACAGCAATAATAAAAGCCAAAGTGTTAGCCAGTCCAACCTCAAGAAATGGCAAAAGAACATAAAGCTTCAAAGATCAACTCAATGGGATCAAGGAAAGTTTCCAATGGGCAAAAAAGAAGAGGAAAAGCAACTGGGGGAAGAAACAGAGAATAAAGACAGAAAAGGCTGCGATGCACATGGTGTGTGAGTAAACAAAGAGTATAAACCATGGAGATACACTTTAAATATTAAACATACAAAGAAACATTTAAACTCTAAAGACTGCATGGAAATTTTCCCTGAGAGCCACCGGAGACAGACTGGCTTTCCTATCAATTCAGTGTCTCATCTAGCTTTGGCCTCAGAGCCAGGGAACCAGATGCCTCCCTCAACACCATTTCTGGCATCCACGAACTCGTGTGGGATCGATTACCACGCAATTACAAAGATGACTAGCGAATCCCGTCATCCTAACAGTGTCAGTTAGGGGCCAGGGAATGTCATGCGGAGTTTTGTAGTGCGAATGCTCACCTTCAAATACAGAGAAGCATTCAGATGAACTTGGAATGACTTGTAATTCTATCAGGCCGCTGAAGTAGGAGTATTTTTTTTTTTAAATCTATGTTGCTGCTAATGGCTTATGAAGTTTTTGTTATGTTCACTGTACAAGGAGAGGTATGCTAGCAGAGTGAGCGAGTGTGTCTGGTTTTCCCCTCCCAGCTTTACTGAAATCTAATTGACATACAAAATTATATTAGCTTAAGGTGTGCAATGTAACCATTTGATAGGTTTTTGTTACAAAACGATCAGCACAATAATTTTAGTTAGCACCCATCACCTCATGCAGCTACAAATAAATATTATTGCAAAAGAAAATGCTACAAGCCTAATGATGAACCTGAAAACGTAGTAGTACAAAATTAGATCAGAACTTTCAAATAGTGCCTACAATGGAAAATAATAATCTTCAACAAATTAGTCTAAAGAACAAAAATTAAATTTCAGTTTTTTAATTCTATTTAAACCAGAAGCTTTTCAAGAAAAAAAAAGTTAATCTATGTGGGAAATGGTCACATCTTCTAAAGCACAGAAAGCAGACTCTGCTAGCTTCGATGGTAGAACTGCCTCACGGTGCCCCTAGGTGAGGTGTTCAAACAAGATGAAATTGTAGCTTCTACGTTGAAAAGGCTACCTGGACAAAAGAAAGGCTGAATACCATACATGGCAAATAATGTCAACCAAGCACCACTAACAACCGAATTGCAAAGAAAGTAGTTCATTGGCTGGAACCAAGAGGAAGGGCAAGGAGAAGCACTGAGGGGTTGGTGGTGGAAAGCTGGATCCACCCCACAAAGTTTCCAAACAACCTGCAGGCAATGAGGAACTAGGGAAGGTTCTCGAGGGATCATTCATAATCAGAAACAAACATGCCTTTATGTACATGTGCCCACACATACCCATATGCATGTTTTTCTCTTTTCCCTCCCAGAATCTTCAACAGTAATGTGGAAGAGAGCCTGAGAGAGGAAGGGCACGGAATGAGGAAAGACTAGTAACAAGGCTGTTGCAGCTTCCTAGGTGAGAGATAACTGGGGCCTGAACCCGGAGAGTGGGATTAGAGAAACGAAGGAATCTGAGAGAGACAGGGACATAAAACTGACAGCGCCTGTAAAACAATTAGGTGTGATGCCTGGGAAAAATGGAACCGAAGTCAAAATAAGAAAGTGTACCACCATAAAATGAACAACTATGCTATTCTCAAAAACAGCATTTTTATCAAAGTTCCATTAAGTCATCTTTGAGGTTATTAATATTTATCTTCAACACAGTCTGAAACCATCCATTAGCTACACAGAGACCAGTTCAAGAAACACTCAGCTCTAGACGGACATTTTGAGATGTGTCAGTCTAGTTCCACTTGAAAATCTGTCAGTAAGTAGTTTAAATTTATCAAAAGATCGAAGATAATCCACAAAAGAAACATCCCCAAAATAGAACTAATTCAAGACTCTCCACAATGAATTACATTTGCTCAATGAATTTCAAAATAGGATCTAAGTTTCGTGCTCCAGTTAATAAGTTTTGGCATTAACTCATTACCTCACACTGTAAAATATAATAAACCTTTTAAAATGACATGCAATATACGGTAAATTATTAACAATGACATTGAAAACAATATAAAAGTATACATATACAGCATATACAGGGGCACCTGGGTGGTTCAGTTGGTTAGGCGTCCGCCTTCGGCTCAGGTCATGATCCCAGGGTCCTGGGATCGAGTCCCTGGTCAGGCTCCTTGCTCAGCGGGGAGCCTGCTTCTCCCTCTGCCTCTGCCCCTCCCCCAACTTGTGCACCTGCACTCGCTCGCTCTATCAAATAAATAAATAAAACTTTTAAAAGAAAATGTATATACAATGCAGTTAGGATTAATGCCTATACAAGAACTAAAAAGATAACATTTTAGAAAAAAATTATGCCATTTTTATCGTACCACCTTCTTTTTCCAGCTTTGAGGTATAATCAACAAATAAAACTGGGGCGCCTGGGTGGCTCAGTCGGTTAAATGCCTAACCCTTGGTTTCCGCTCCAGTCAAGATCTCATGGGTCATGGGATGGAGCCCCGTGTCAGACTCCACACTCGGCAGGGGGTTTGCTCAAGATTTTCTCTCTCTCCCTCTCCTTCTGCCCCTTTCCCCACTCACGCTCATTATTGCTCTCAAATAAATACATAAATCTCAAAAATTGTAAGCTATTTACAGTGTATAACAGATGTTTTGATATACGTATACACTGTGAAATGATCCACTCCATCGAATTAATTAACACAAACATCACTTCCCATATTCACTTTTTTTTAAAAAAACTTTTCAATTGAACAATACAGTGTTAATCAGCTACAGTCACCGTGTTATACATTAGACCCTCAGAACTATTCGTCTCATAACTGAAAGTTTGTATCCCATACCGCCTTCTTAATATTCAAAATCAGAGTACTTGACCACTTAGATGCAATCTCTTTGTGGAACATGTTGGTTTCTAGAGATTAACAGGCTGATCTTGAACTGAGAAAAACATACAAAACCAAGTCAACAATTCAAAGTATAACCATAAATGAACAAACAAGAGACAATATTTGACCAGGCACATAAAAATTAGGTAAAAAGAAGTGGGGCAAAAGAAACACATTTGTTGAGAGCCTCCTAGAAGTCTGACATTGGTCTAAGCAAACACTCTCTCCCACCCCATACTCACTGTATAATGAGTCTTTGGATAATCGGGTATAAGCTTCATGAAGGCAGAGAGGGCTTGGTAACCAGCATATCTGCAGGTTCTCAAACAGCACCTGGCACACAATAAGTACTCAATAAATATCTGTTAGCTGCATGGATGAATGGATGAATCGCTAGATGGCTGGTGGATGAATGAATAGCTATTTTCAGTAATAATGGTGGTCTAGCTCATGTACACCAAAAGACATCCTGGAAGCTTAGGAGAAAGGGAGCAAGAAATGTGCTCCAAGCCACTGTGTTCCTTTGCCCAAATACAGGTTATCATAGGTTATCACAGTAGAGTGGACAAAGCACGGGCTCCACCATCAGACCTGGATGGGAAGCCAGGCTTCAGACTTACCTTTAGTGGGTCCCTGGACAAGTTACTACTCTATGATTGAAATGCACAGACTAATTCTTTAATCTTGAAGTTCTAAAAAGGCTTAACTGAAATAACATAAGTGGAGTACATAGCAAATGCCTAGCACATAATTAGTACTTAATATAAATCTCTCCACACACTGGACCCAGGGAAATGACCCTGGTGCTCATAAAGTCTGGGTCTTAGGGGTAAAGTCCAAGGGAGGGGTGTCAGTGAAAGGAATCCTAGTGCAGTCCACAGCAGGACAGCTCTGGAGTCATTTTAAAATGTCAATCCAAAGGCCTGGCTCATTATATCATGTTGGAGGGAATGAACAATCATAGCAGGGGCCTACGTAAAATTCAAAGAGGATACGGGCCTCTGCCAATGCCAGGAAATACAAAACAAAACAACTACCATATGTTCTGTGCCTGACAATTTCACACTTGCCAAAATTAGTATACTTTTCTTTACTATTATGTCAAATCCACTTTTTTGACAATACCTGAAGTATACAGTTGATCCTTGAATAACATGGGTTTGAACTACGCAGGTCCACTTATACACAGATTTTGTTCGATAAATACAATACAGAACTGTAAATGTATTTTCTCTTATGTATTTTCTTATCAATATTCTCTTTTCTCTAGCTTCCTTTATTGTAAGAATACAGTATGTGATACACGTAACATACAACATGTGTTAATTGACTATTTATGTTAACGGCAAGGCTTCCGGTCAACAGTAGGCTATTAGTAGTTAAGTTTTTGAGAAGTCAAAACTCATACTCAGGGGCGCCCGGGTGGCTCAGTCGTTAAGCGTCTGCCTTCAGCTCAGGTCATGATCCCAGGGTCCTGGGATCGAGGCCAGCATCTGGCTCCCTGCTCAGCGGGAAGCCTGCTTCTCCCTCTCCCACTCCCCCTGCTTGTGTTCCCTCTCTCGCTGTGTCTCTCTCTGTCAAATAAATAAATAAAAATCTTGAAAAAAAAAAAAAAGCAAAAACTCATCCTCAGATTTTCAACTGTGTGAGGGATCTGCACCCCAACCCTGACGTTGTTCAAGAGTCAACTGTATTTTTTTGATTTGATGAAATTATGGATCATCAAGGATTCTCTTCAAGAAAGATTTCCCAAGGGCCCTATCCAGCTCCATCTCTAAGAGACCAATATAAGTGCGCATTTGGCTATAATTATGCCCTTGTGTATTCTCTCTTTCACACTTCCAACATCATATCATACAGTGCAGCCCAGTTATAAAACATGATTAATATCCCCAAACTTTGTATCCATAATTGAAAATGTAAAAAAAATTTTAAAGAAGTTCTAATAGTTTCCTCTTGAATTAGTAGCAAAGTAAATTATAAAATTTGTATATTATCTTTCTAATTATTGCTTATCCATCAGGTGAAGTCCTCTTAATGAGTCAATGAGAAAATTATCTTAACTTTAGAAGGTGCTTTGAGTATATTATTCAACTACAGTGTCAGGAATACCTAAAATGTCTGTTTTTTTGCAACATGAATCCACATCATTTAAATCAAACCTGAATCCAAAATCATTAAATTCAAATATGCAGTTGAATAGTTTGCTTTCGGACAAAGGTCATCTTAATCACTGCTGATTTTAAATGAACGTTTTACAAAGGATGTATATAGCTGGGGAGGTGGAAAATAAGAGAACAAATTAGGGTAGAGGGAGACAGTCACACCAGAGAAAGTCTCTCAAGTAAGAAAGTTCTTTCTTATAAACAAAAATCTAGGTATCAATCATCAAGTCCAGAGAGTATAGCAATGGAACAAGAGACTGATAGCACAAAATTCTAAGAACTTAAACCAATTTATGAAATCTCTATCTAGAAAGTAATAGTCCCTTGCAGACGGTTCCAGTTAATGAATCAATATTTGAAAAGGAATACAATATAATTTTGTGAAGAGGAACTGAAGCTATTTAGAATAGCAGGGGAAGGCACACCCTGTTTTGATTGGAATCAGCCAGAAGCTATGAGAAAAAGGATTTGTGCCCAGTAGAACAACTCCCTGAAGAAATCTAGGACGGTATGTTGGCAGGAACAAAGAGAAAACTTGGGCAAGTACTACGCTTCACCCATAGGAGTATCAGCAACTCTATCCACCCTGCCAGCCTTATGTCACATACGGTTCAGGGAGCTTTCTGAACATTATAGTGCAGGCTGCCCTTGCTACTTAATACAAGAGTACTCCTACGAAACCTTTTGTAAGCCGAAACAGTGTAAAGCAAAGAAGCAGTTGCCATTTCATAAAAGCGAAAGTCCTCTTTGGATTTCTTCAGTTAGCGAAAACAGGTGCTAACACAGGTGTTTTGTAAAAGGAAAGTGGCGTGAAGCAAAGCTTGCCGCAGTGGAAGAAGCTGATCCTGCCCCAGTGACCTATCACCTGGGAACAGGATTCTGTCATGAGAGGATGACACCCTCTCCGCTGGCAGCTTTAACAAAGGATTCAGGAAAATTGTATTCCTGATATTCTAAGTATTTTATACTTTGTCTCCTTGGAAATACAATTCTCATTGTTAACAACTGATTTTCCAGTAGACATCAATGTTCAGAAATTTCTGTTTAAGCGTATCAGATTTCCCAGTCTGATCAGCCCTGGTAACCAGACTACTGACGCTGATAACTACCAAGCTCCTTCTAAAGCAATCCCTGCGCACATAAGCATGGTCAGTTATAAATCAGCTTTTGCAAACTATGTGCTCTACATCATATTAGAAAACAGTATGTTCCTGAGTTGCCCACAGTGTACATTCAATTTTATTTGGAACATATCTTAGTACAGATTTCCGTCACTTCCAAATGCTAATGTCCTCTTTCTATAAATGCCTAGCACTTCTTCACCACAATTACCAAAAAGATGATCTTCAATTTTCTCTTAGCCTCATTTTTTAGTCCTAATAAAGCATGTCTGGTACGTTCACTATAGGTGTCTTTGCCATAGACATCTTTGCTGCTGCAAGCATTTTCACTACATCTTCACCTCGTAACTAATTGGCCATAAGACAATTTCTATAAAATATGAAATAACTGGTTGACAGTTTGGTTTCATTTAAGATAAAACAACTTGGGGCGCCTGGGTGGCTCAGTCAGTTAAGCGTCTGCCTTCAGCTCGGGTCACGATCCCAGGGTCCTAGAATCAAGCCCCACGTCAGGCTCTCTGCTCAGTGGGAGACTGCCTCTCCCTTTCCCTGTTGCTCCCCCTGCTTGTGCTCAGTCTCTCTCTGTCAAATAAATAAATAAAATCTTTAAACAAAAAAATATAAATAAATAAGATAAAACAACTTGTTGACAGTTTGGTTTCATTTCTCCATTGAAGAATCAATCACCTCTGGCACAGTTAATGTATTGAAAGCTAGTTGTCAGTTTGGTTTCATTTCTCCACGGACAAAGTTCCCATTTTTTATTATATAAATGTTACCTAGCCTTCCTAATGGTCTATACAGCAGTAGCCATGGTGGTCTTAAAATAGTGGATGATGACCACATATACCAACTTGACAGAAAATACTGTGACAGAGCTTACAGGAGGGGTGAAATAAAAGCGTAATGCCAGACTGCATACTGTACTATAATACAAAATGACAGCACATCAATTACAACAAAGTCCCGTTGGTTACAATACTACATCAGCATTTCTTCCCCACTTCCCGCACAACTCTGGACCGTGTATTAAGGGACATATGACAATATGCCAAGAATGAACAACAGTGTAGAAGATTCTCACGGTGCAATACAAAACCCAGGTACAAATACATATCCTAATATTTGGAAAACTGATACCTCTTAATGGGGAAGAAATAATGAATTTGTCAATTTTTTCATGTTTCATTATGACCTTTTTAACATTATTTTATCTCTTATGACAAAACTACCTTATAACCAATGAGTGACACAGCAAAAATGTTTGTGGAAAAACTACCTAGAACCCTGATTAAGATGTGGTTCTTCTTTAAAAAAAAAAATGTGATTCTTCTTGAAAATATGATTATGATTACAACAATTTGACAACCTTTTTTTAACCATTTTTTAATTTAAATTTTTTTTTATTTGAGTATAGCTGACACATAATGCTACATTAGTTTCAGGTCAATTTGATTACTCTGAAGAAGTTTTAAAAGGTCACCCAAAATACAAAGTGGTCTTGTGGAAACTAGGAATGCCTCACCATATAATGACACCCTCTCTGCTGGCATCTTTAATAAAGGATTCAGGAAAACTGTACTCCTGATCTTCTAAGGTATTAACTGGCCAATCAAAAAGCTCAGCTATTAATCTCACAAATGTTAAGTGCCAAAGCCACAGTAAGATGTCAATATGGTAAAACAAATGTGAATTAAATTCATTCACTCAGGGGGCACCTGGGTGGCACAGTCATTTAAGGGTTAGACTCTTAGTTTCAACTCCAGTTGATCTCAGGGTTGTGAGATTGAGCCCTGCGTCGGGCTCTGTGCTCAGCGAGCTGTCTGCCTGTGATTCTCTCTCCCTCTCCCTCAGCCCCTGCCCACCATGCACACATGCTCGCTCTTAAATAATAAATATATATATATTCATTCACTCACAAGTTATTGAATACCCTGGATGTGCCATTTATGGAGTGCCGTTCAGGCACTGAAAAGTCAAATAGACTACATAATTCCAAATACTTTACAACCGAAAGGAACAAGCTAAGCAACTAAATAAAAAATTT